TATGTCATATACATTCAGTCAGAATCGTGTAATAATATTTATTGAAAAGAAACGTATAGTATTCCATTAAAAGTTTGCTGCAAGGTACATGCTATAAAAGAATTTACTGTATCTGCTATTAATTCCATAAGATAGTAGCAACATACTGAGTACATATAAATACAGGGTATTAGGTAATAAAATATACTTGACGTGTAAATTGGTAGGTAAATGTAAAACATCAGCAACAAATGTAAGAGCAATTTCAAACATGTCAGAATATACCTTAGTCTTATTAACAAAGGAATCAGTGAACCCAAAGGTAGGTAGACCATTGTAAATTTATTGATATATACAGCTCATTGATATATACAGCTCATTAAACAATTGCCAAATATTTTCAGGAAAGTGTCCAATAGAGTATCATCGGTTAGCAAGGAAGACCTCGTGTCTTCAGACTCAGACAGTTCTGATGCTGATGTATTAGATTCTCCACCTAATAATCCCACATCTGATAATGATGGAGGAATCACTCAAGGAGATTCCATTTTCTACCCAGGATATAAAGATGTCTCTGGTGAAACAGATGTTCGGTTCCACATATCAAAGCGTGAGTATGATTCCTATATCAAAGCGAGTATGACTCCATATATCAAAGCATGAGTATGATTCCATATATCAAAGCATGAGTATGATTCCATATATCAAAGCATGAGTATGATTCCATATATCAAAGCATGAGTATGATTCCATATATCAAAGCATGAGTATGATCCCATATATCAAAGTATGAGTATGAGTCCATATGTCAAAGTGTGAGTATGATTTCACATAGAGCACAAGTATGAGTTCACCTATTAAAGTTTGAGTATAATTTCATATGTCAAAGGATGAGTATAAGGCACATTATGATTAAGTGAATTAAGGACACTTTAGGCATTAGACCCATGAGTAGCATATTGCACTTGTGGAATGAGAGGTAATTAGGTTTGAGCTAAGCAAAGGGAGGTTAGCTCAAGTTCCTTGAATCAGGAGCCCATCACCAACATCAAGCCATTCAACTTGAAGAGGGAAGACCATAGTGATAGCACTAATGAAATAGATTTTGGTACTATGGCTGTAGGCAGCCATGTATTTGTGTTGGGGACTTTCAAACATTGAAAACAGTAGCTCAAGTTTTCCATAACAAGCTTGCCATGGCTGAGAACACCAACTATGGTGCTCCCATGAATTGCTGTGCATAGACCTGTATACATTACTTTCCTGGGTAATAATGTTCGCTGATGAGTGGATAAAGTTAAAATGAGAAGTTTAGTGATGATTTTATTGAATTAATTTGCTAGTCAGTTTTGCCAGTAGCCAAGCAGATATTTGAAAGTATTCACCCATTAGGTTCTGTGACTATTATTAGTTTCTCTAATTGTTACTTGCATACACTGTAACTGTTATCTCAGGGGTTGTCCCTACACCCAGAGCTGCACCCCTTCAAGGTCTCAGAATGCAGGTGACTATGCATGTAAATCACTTTATGGAAGATTTTAAACTCATGGCTCTTATTGCCCTGTTCTCTTGAAATATCCACCCCTGCTCAGACCTTATTGCACCAAATCTCTTTTCACCTGTAAAAGCCTACATCTGGCCCTCGTAGCAATTAGTCTTTCTCTCTCTCTCTCTCTCTCTCTGGTCCAAAATTATTTCCACTCATGCCATGTACTGGTGAAGAAATATTGGGTGACAAATTGCTAAGGTCTCCATGGGGAAGTGGAACAAAACTCTTCCTTCATAAGCTATGCATGTCGTAAGAGGCGACTAAAATGCCAGGAGCAAGGGGCTAAGAACCCCTTCTCCTGTATATACATATATTACTAAATTTAAAAGGAGAAACTTTCGTTTTTCCTTTTGGATCACCCTACCTAGGTGAAATATGGCCAGTTTGTTGAAAGAAGAAGAAGAAATTGCTAAGGTGCTCTTTACCTTGGTTTACCTAGAATCATATTCCATATATTATGGGACCAGAACTTAGCCATATTGCAAGTATGTTGATAATGCTTTTGGGATTTTCATCTTGTTAATAAAAACAATTTGTTGCACAGTGATTGGTTAATAATATTGTAGAAACAATTACACTTATTCTTATGAAGAATTATTTTCTAGCAATGCTTTTTCTTTTCTTCTTGCAGGGCTTAAAAGTGTGGAGGTGCTTTTGCAAAAAATGTTTGAAAAGGAAATAGAGGTGGATGATTTAGGTCCAAATATTGAAAATCTAGACAAAGACTTACAGGATGAAGATACGTATTTATCGGGTCAAAACCGAACTCTTTGGGGTATGTGAAGAAAGTCGCAGGAGTGGAGTTGTATTATCATGAAGGACCCACACAGCCATACAGAACTGATGATTTTTAAGGATGAACTGTACAGTATTGCTACTTAAAAAGTGCTCTACCCTGATGAAGTATTGTCAATTTAACTTTTTCACTGCAGAAGAAATTTTAAGATCTGAAAAGTGATCTGAAAATATCCCTTAACATTGGATATTTGTTTTTGTATATACTACCTAAGAAATGCTGCAGTTACAAGCCTGGTATTTATTATATAAAGCTTTATTTAAACATTGAGATTGCTAGTTAAGAATCATTTATTTACACTTTACATTATACTCCCTGATTTTAATACTTTTATAAATATCTTATATTACTTGTTATAAAGTTTTAAATATTGTCTAAAGAAATGGTAATAATTGTTTTTGCCAGAAATAATTTTGTTTATTATGCCAAAGTATGTGTTGCTAATGTCTAAATGAATTGTATGGGTTAGACCCAGTGATCCATCTTGTGTTATTTATTGTGAGGTCAATCATACCTACTAAAGAAAGTCGATAGTTAGGACACATCACTATTTTTTTGTTAGTTTTGTATTCATTAGTAAGATGTACTTGTGATATACAGTTTTGCAGTACTGTAGGTTATCATCATTGCTAAATTTCAGAAGTTTCCTAACTCACTGGGACATTTACTACTACTACTATTGTCTGTTCTAAAACAGTAGTACTCATGAGGTGCATACCAAAGCCTTTCCGGTAATATATTGGTGTAATGTACAGTTTCCACTTTCCTGGAAGTTGAGCCTACCCATTAAGCTGAAGCCCTCAGATGGGCAACATACTTCTTTTGTGAGGGGGTTATGGTTCAGATGAAAGGTTATGTGCTGACCCTGTGGAACCAGTGTCATCTGGTCTTGTATCTTTCTCCATTGTCTGGTGAGGTGGTGTATTTAGCCAGGGCTAAGCAACCATTGGAGAACAGCCCCATTTTGGTCCTGTATCTGCCTTTTAGTTCTCTGTTGGTCACTTGTATATATCTGTTATTCCTGGGGTTATTTGTTTTAGTAAACATATACACTTTCTACCTGCTGTGGTGGTTCTGTTGTCAGCCTTGATGCCTGTGGTGCAACACATGCAGTTCCATTACTAACTATTATTGGAGATGTGTCAGCCAGGCTGTGAGATGGTCTGCTAAAATTGTTTTCTTCTAGACTGTCGTATCTGAGCGCCTCTGCAAAGACAGTGATTATGTGTGAGTGATGGTGAAAGTGTTGTATGATGAAGAAAGTATTTTTCTTTCTTTATGGGTTTTTCTTTCTTTTTGGGTCACCCTGCCTCAGTGGGAAATGACCATTGTGTTAAAAAACAAAAAAATACACCTTCTCTTGCTGGTCATGCATGCTTGTTGTTGGATGGGGAAATTTTTTTTATGAGTATTATTAATGAATCCTTTATAGTGTCTTTGATTACATAATGGCAATTTGCAAGTTGTCCTTGCAATACCCCACAACATTCCTTTTGTTCTACAACTACTTCAAATCCCATACCTGATACTTCTTGACCTTTTTGTCACTATAATCATAAGAAGTCTCCACATCGGATTCCATTGCCTCCATAAACCTGGTTAAAAAAAAAATTTACACTTCAGCTCAGTGTGGCTTTGGATGTGTTAGATGAATAGAGTACAAAGTCAGCCAAGTTATGAGAGTAGTTGACCCAAGGTTCACTTTCAGTACTCAGCATGATTGAGCATGTGTAGTCTAAGTTAATTATTCTACTCAAATGGGTAACCTAACAAAATTACAAACTGTAGATGGTCATCCTTTCTTGTTCAGTTGTACATCAGTGAACACTGAAGGAGTGCACAGATTATTTTCAGGAACTACAACTGCAACAGCTACCCATTCTCAAAGTAGACACTTTTGTCTGTCCTGCATAAGGACTAACAAAAATACATGTACTTGAGAAATGCTGCCGAACATTTGACTACCAGGAGCTCCCTGCTCCCTCCTACCCCAGTTTTAGATTCCACACATGCTAAATAATCTGTTCTCTTTATTTCTCAGATGATTAGAAGTTGTAGTTCATGCAGGGTTATCATCTGGTACTCATGAATCTTCCCCAGTTCCTCAAGATTCTGCTACTCTTTCTTCCTCTCTCATTACATTCATTCTGTACTCTCCTCCTCTGCTACTGCAAAAGTTTCTATGAGTCCTTCCTCCCTACTTCTCAGTGAATGTTCTTGGTCTTCTACAGACTCCTATGATGAATGTATTTAAAATACAAGCTTCTTATAGTATCCTATTACTACCAGAGTACCATCTCTTGCACCTACTACATTGCCGTTTCTTTCCTCTTTAGATAAGAAAATGACAGATGCCATTTCAGCTCATGTATGTACATGATATCCACTGTAGATTTTAATTTATCCATGGACTCTGATCATTGCCAGGTAATCTCAAATGTGGTACAACACTTGACGATTCACTCCTGCCTGACATGACCTTTAAACATCAAATTCATTAACCTCTTGTAACAAAGGACTCCAGTTTCTTCGGATCCCTACTCCATCCTCCTCACAGCATAGTAATTCTTTTTTTCTTTAATTCACATGCCATAAGTGTTTAGTGAACTCTTACGCACTACCACCAAAGCTTGACTGCATTGATCATTCTCCTACATAACTTACTCAGCTTTGCTTATGTAATTTGTGTATATTTTACAGTGGAATATTGAAGGCTGTATTGGAAATCAAGGAGAGCTCTTAAATTCTGATTCCCTAGCTTTTTCTGTTTATATTTGTTGCCTTGAAACTAAACTTTACCAGGTTATTTGCTTTCCCACCTGCACGAACTGTATCACTGTAAGACAACAAGAGCATTTCACTCCTCAATGGAAGTTGTGTTCATTTAATATCACATACCTGAAAGCTCGTCCCAGGAAGTAATTAGTCATCTCTTTCTTAAATCATTTGCAAGGGCAGCTGGGAAGCTACTATTTGTGACTTCACCTTTTACATACAAGAAGCATATCATGTTCCATTTACCACTCTTGAGCTTGCATCAGCACTATCAAAGTGTTAGCCTACGGCAGCTGGACCTGTTGATGTACCTGCACTCATACTTCATCATTTACAGTCTTCAGCATTAGACATATTATTACCACTCAGTGATGTTTAGTCTATAGGAGTATTACCCATACAGTAGACGTTTCCTATGTCCCTTACTTTCTGAAAACAATATGTAGATTAATGGAACATATGGTAAGCAGGAGGCTAGTGTGATACTGAATGAAAGTAATAGTTGTGTATCCATACATCAGTTTGGATACAGCAGGGGCCATTCCACTACTGATCCTCTATTCCTGCTTGATACATTTACAATGCCTTTGTCAAAGGTTGGTTTGTGGTGGCAGTCATTTTCAACTTAAAAAAAGAAAGCTTATGGTATGGCATGGTGATATCACATCTTATCCCATTTTTATTTTTTAATGCAAGCCAACTTACACAAATCAACAATAGCAGATTTGAATTCATTCAACCAGGAGGCATTCCATAAGGGTGCTTTCTTAGAATACTGTTTCTGTAGCCTATTAATGGTCTAACTTCATTACTACCTCAATGTTTTTTCACCGCTCTCTCGTTTGGGAAAAGGTTCTCGTGTGACTTAGTATTGGCCAAGCAAGATTCACTTATAGCTATCATGTGGAGAGATGTCAAGTGCTTCTCTGTGTAACTTGTCAGGTCTCATTGATGGTCAGACACCTTTTGAGTAATTGTACCATTTATCAGAGGTGGTACAATAATTATGTACAATTCATTAATTTTTAGAATGCTTTAGTAATTTCCATTATAATTAGTTCTGCTGGTGATACTGATATCATTGGTGAATATTATCATAATTTATATTATTGTTTTCATCACCATTTTTACTGTATTAATGCAGTGATTGTTGTTATTTTATGCACTCAGTGCATTCACAGACTTATCCACAGTCATTTATGTTTTCCTGCATAATGTACCAATAAATGTAATTAATATGATTGTAACCTTTACTGTTACAGTAGTATTGATACTATTATTTTAACTCATGACTGTATTATTATAATAATTTTATTAATATTATTAATTATGAATGTTATTGTGGGTCTTGTTGTACACAATGACTGAATCCATATATAATATATTTTTGTTGGAAACTAAACCAGTGACCATAGTGTGTATAATTACATACACAGTAGAATATCGATTGTCCGGCCCTTTTGGTTTTTCATCATTACTGGATGATCAATTTTTTTTTCTGATCCCTTTGTCTTGTGCATTTCTATTTTGCATAACGTGTTAAAGTGCCAGATTGAACCAGATAGCTCGATGATATTGGCAGCTGAAAAACCGAAAGCCTGGTAATCAATAATCTACTGTTTATGTATTTCAAGAATTCAGTATAAATAAATAAACCTAAATAAAAAATATATTATTGTACTAATATATCCACATCTGTATTTTAATATCTTAGTTTCATCTATTATGATCTGTCAGTTTGCAAGACGGGTGAGCATTGCTGGAACTGAAAATAAATTTGGTAATAAAATTATGTAAATTTTAGAAAAAAAAAGAGCCTTCAAAACAGGATGGTTGCTCACTTGGAGTTTTCCATAAATATAGTGATATACAAGCCTTGATTGATGACGTAAAACCTTTCAATGACTGTCAAGTAGAGGCCACATCATGAGCTAAAATCACTTGGATAAGCTGTGGGTGGTAAATTTTGGCCTAGATATGAAAGAATGGATCTGTGTGGTGAGTGTGCACAGTATAAAAAAGAAAAAAATCCTGCTCCACTCTATGGATGTTGGGAAAAGTAAAGCCCTTACCTTGGGTTTTTGAGAATGTTTTTTTATTTTATTTTCTGTTTATTGGTATCATTTGATAGAATGAGAGACATGGGCCTACACTGCACCAAAAAACAGAGTACCAGATTTTCCCCAGTTCATCAGGATTTTGAAATCCTTGATGGTGAGATTCTCTATAATGTAGCATGGTAGCATAGCCTCCCTGTTCCTTTTCACCTATATTGCACTAAGAGTATACTCCGACTTAGGGACTCATGTGTTAAGTTATATAGGTTTTACTTGCCATACAAGTCTACTTCCTGTATTACTGGTGTTAGAATGGATTAAATCTAATTGCCTCCCAATTTCCAGGTAGTGTATGAGCCCTGTGGGTTTAGTGCTCCCCATGAATGTAATAGTAGTAGTGGTAATAATAATACAGGTAGTACACTTGGTATGAATATGAAGAATCTGAACTGATAATTCTTCAGGTATGGTGCAATATTAATATTAATTGTCAAGTATAAAATGTACCCATATAAATACATGAGTGGGTGTGGGTGGGTGTGAGTTGGACCTGACTAGCTTGTGCTACTGGGTCTGGTGCCGTGCTCCATCCTTGAGTGGAGGTGACCAGACTGGGTGGGTCATTGGGCTAATCTGGAGGAGGGGTCATTGGGCTAATCCAGGGGGACACATGGACCTGCTCCACATGGATCAGTAGGCCTGTTGCAGTGTTCCTTATTTCTTATGTTCTTACATAAAATTATGTCCCAAACAGATTTGGTGCTTGTTTTTTAATATACAATATACAGTTACTAAGAAAGGGAAACAGGTTTTAATCTATATTTATCTCTTTCTCTCTCTCGCTCACTCACTCACTTTGCACCAAGTGCAAAGTCATGAAGAGTGGGGAAAGTCAAAGATGACTACAGACAGAGTACAGGCTAGGGGGTGCCAAAGACTGCAAACCTCACTCAAGGAAAAGGATCTTGAGGTGAGCATAATACTGAGCACATCTGAGGCACACATCAACCAAATAACTGCTGCAGCACATGGGCGCCTGGCAAACCTAAGAATAGCGTCTCGTCAACTAAGGAATCATTCAAGACTTTGTACACCATGTACTTCAGGCCCATATTGGAGTATGCAGCACCAGTATGGAACCCACACCTGGTCAAGCACATCAAAAAATTAGAGAAAGTGCAAAGGTTTATAACAAAACTAGATCCAAAGCTAAGGGGTATGTCCTACAAAGAGAGCTTTAGGGAAATCAACCTGACGACACTGAAGGATGGGGGGACATACCTGGAGAGGGTTTTGGGGGTCAATACCCCCATGGCCTGGTCTGATGGATCAGGGTCTGATCAACCAGGCTGTTACTGCTGACCACATGCAAACTGACGTATGAACCAAAGCCCGGCTGGTCAGGTACTGACTTTAGGTGCCTGTCCAGTGCCTTCTTGAAGACAGTCAGGGGTCTATTGGTAATCTCCCTTACGTATGCTGGGAGGCAGTTTAACAGTCTTGGGCCCCTGGCACTTACTGTGTTGTCTCTCGGTGTACTTGTGGCATCCCTGCTTTTCATTGGGGAAATGTTGCATCTCCTGCCGAGTCTTTTGCTTTCATAGAGAGTGATTATTATGTGCAAGTTTGGTACTAATCCTTCTAGGATTTTCAAAGTGAATATTATCATGTATCTCTCTAGCCTACGATCTAGGGAATACAAAAAAAAGGGACTTAAACCGTTCCCAATAATGTAGGTGCTTTATCATACTTATGTGTGCCGTGAAAGTTCTTTGTACACTCTCCAGGTCAGCAATTTCGCCTGCCTTGAAGGGGGCAGCTAGTGTACAGCAGTATTCCAGCCTAGAGAGAACAAGTGATTTGAAGAGAATCATCATGGGCTTGGTGTCCCTAGTTTTGAAGGTTCTCATTTTTATCCATCCTATCATTTTTCTAGCAGATGTGGTAGATACAGTGTTGTGGTCTTTGAAGGTGAAATCCTCTGACACTATCACTCCCAGGTCCTTCACATTACTTTTTCGCTCTATTGTATGATTAGAATTTGATGTATACTCTGATACAGTTTTAATTTCCTCAAGTTTTCCATATCTGAGTAGTTGAAATTTCTCTTCATTGAACTTCATATTGTTGTGAGTGGCCCATTTGAAGATTTGGTTGATGTCTGCTTGGAGTCTTGCGGTGTCGATGGAGGACACTGTCATGGCAATTCGGGTGTCATCCGCAAAGGAAGACATGGAGCTATGGCTTACATCTGTCTATGTCAGATATGAGGATGGGGAATAGGATGGGAGTGAGTACTGTGCCTTGTGGAACAGAGCTTTTCACTGTAGCTGCCTCAGACTTTACTCTGTTTACTATTACACTTTGTGTTCTATTTGTTAGGGAGTTATAGATCCATCTACCAACTTTTCCTGTCATTCCTTTATCACACATTTAGTGTGCTATATATGCTATATGCCCTATATATGTATGCCCAGTTCGGTTCATATTTTGTGCCATTCTGGTTCTGCCACCTATAGGCCTACCAAGCTCAGCCCGCACCACACTTACCCTGCCTCACTCTGGCAGCCAGCGTCACTCAAACAACAGCTCTATTCCATCACTCTTGTGGGCATGGCCCTCCAGGCCTGGGCCTGGGCCACCATAACACACTGTCTGTGTAGAAGTACCCAAATAAAGTAAGAAGCCCTCGAAGAGCCTTATCACTGATCTCCTTGCTTGGATATGCCCCATTTTAACGATTATAAATGGTGACAGTGGTGGGATGCTGTGAAGACCTAGGTGACGCTACGAATATTTCTCAAGGAAAATTTTGCAAATTTCGGCCTGGATCCTGTGTCTGATTGATGAAACTTGGAGACATGACTTCAGGACAACTCGTAGAAGGACGGATACTTCTTGTATGGGGCAGTGAAGTGGAGACGACATCTTCGGTGGCCGAGCGATGTATGCCCAGTTGGATTCATATATCACTCCATGCTGGTGCTGCCACCTATAGGCCTACCAAGCTAAGCCTGCACCATGCTTATCCTGCCTCACTCTGGCAGCTGATGTCACTCGGACAACTCTACTCCGTCACTCTCATGGACATGGCCCTCTGGGCCTGGGCCACCATAATACACTGTCAGTGTAGAAGAACCCAGATAAAGTAAGAAACCTCTAGGTGTGGATGGTGTGGTTGCCTCTGAGGCAACCACACCATCGTATGTCCTGGCAACTTGAAGCAAGCCTAGTTCGCTAGGCTCAAGTTGTTTGTAGGATTGTATGGTCCAGTTGTTTAGAGCATCGTGAATTTTCGCTTGCCATGAAGCGGGCTAAAGCAACACGGGTTCGATCCTCCGGCTTGGCTTGCCGCAGTGTTGTTATTGATTGTATATATATATATATATATTATATATATATATATATATATATATATAATATATATATATATATATATATATATATATATATATATATATATATGTATACATATATATATATATATCTTTCTTTCAACACACCGGCCGTATCCCACCGAGGCGGGGTGGCCCAAAAGGAAAAACGAAAGTTTCTCCTTTTACATTTAGTAATATATACAGGAGAAGAGGTTACTAGCTCCTTGCTCCCGGCATTTTAGTCGCCTCTTACAACACGCATGGCTTACGGAGGAAGAATTCTGTTCCACTTCCCCATGGAGGATATATATATATATATATATATATATATATATATATATATATATATATATATATATATATATATATATATATATATATATATATATATATATAATATTTATATATATACATATATATATTTTTTTTTTCAACAAGTCAGCCGTCTCCCACCGAGGCAGGGTGACCCAAAAAAGAAAGAAAATCCCCAAAAAGAAAATACTTTCATCATCATTCAACACTTTCACCACACTCACACATTATCACTGTTTTTGCAGAGGTGCTCAAAATACAACAGTTTAGAAGCATATACATATAAAGATACACAACATATCCCTCCAAACTGCCAATATCCCAAACCCCTCCTTTAAAGTGCAGGCATTGTACTTCCCATTTCCAGGACTCAAGTCCGACTATATGAAAATAAATATATATATATATATATATATATATATATATATATATATATATATATATATATATATATATAATATATATATACAGAGAGAGAGAGAGGGGGGGTTGAGG